TTCTCTTGGCCTGATTTACTAAAAGAAGCACACAAGATAACTGAATAGCCGTGTAAAAAAGTAAATTGCAGAAACATGTAGAGCACCATCAGAATGTGTCAGGTCCTTCACAGGTAGTTTATGAAATCTATTTATTGCGTTGCTTATATCGTGTCCATTCTAGTCTTATGATTCTGTGAACTAAAAATGACTAAACATTACAGGACAAGGATAAGGGACAACATGGTATTTGTAGGAAGTGACACGTTTCCAGTTAAGACCTGGTTCTTGTTTCAGGGATCTGGCTGCCCGTAACTGCTTAGTTGGGGAAAACCACTTGGTTAAAGTGGCAGATTTTGGACTGAGTCGCCTGATGACGGAAGAAACCTACATAGCCCATGTAGGAGCCAAGTTTCCCATTAAATGGACCGCCCCCGAGAGTCTGGCCTATAACAAATTCTCCATTAAGTCAGATGTGTGGGGTAAGCAAAAATCAATGAAACGCTCCCTGTTATCTTATGGGTAAAACTAAAATTCTTGCTTGAACTCTTCAGCATTTGGCGTCCTGCTTTGGGAAATTGCCACCTACGGGATGTCTCCATATCCTGGAATTGACTTGTCCCAAGTGTACGAGCTACTAGAGAAAGATTACCGCATGGACAGACCCGAAGGATGCCCAGAGAAAGTCTATGAGCTCATGAGGGCCTGTAAGTAGCTCATCAGATCGCTGAAGAAAATCCAAGGAGCAAAAAGTAGACAAGCTAAAGTATTTGAATAAGATGGTTACAATTAAGCAATTAATACAAGTCTTTAGTTGCCCTTTGGACTGACTTTAGTGTCTCTATCTTTAGGTTGGAGATGGAACCCTGCAGAGCGGCCTTCTTTTGCTGAAACTCACCAGGCGTTTGAGACAATGTTTCAAGAGTCCAGTATCTCCGATGGTAAGACTTTGTCTCTGGAAGTTTAGAGAGATTTGCGTTTACTTTTCTCGTGGCTCATCTTCAATCTTCATGGGTTGCAGAGGTGGAGAAAGAGTTGGGGAAAAAAGGTAAGAAGCTGACACTGGGTCCAATACAGCAGGCACCAGAACTTCCCACTAAGACAACCACTTGGTTAAAGTGGCAGATTTTGGACTGAGTCGCCTGATGACGGAAGAAACCTACATAGCCCATGTAGGAGCCAAGTTTCCCATTAAATGGACCGCCCCCGAGAGTCTGGCCTATAACAAATTCTCCATTAAGTCAGATGTGTGGGGTAAGCAAAAATCAATGAAACGCTCCCTGTTATCTTATGGGTAAAACTAAAATTCTTGCTTGAACTCTTCAGCATTTGGCGTCCTGCTTTGGGAAATTGCCACCTACGGGATGTCTCCATATCCTGGAATTGACTTGTCCCAAGTGTACGAGCTACTAGAGAAAGATTACCGCATGGACAGACCCGAAGGATGCCCAGAGAAAGTCTATGAGCTCATGAGGGCCTGTAAGTAGCTCATCAGATCGCTGAAGAAAATCCAAGGAGCAAAAAGTAGACAAGCTAAAGTATTTGAATAAGATGGTTACAATTAAGCAATTAATACAAGTCTTTAGTTGCCCTTTGGACTGACTTTAGTGTCTCTATCTTTAGGTTGGAGATGGAACCCTGCAGAGCGGCCTTCTTTTGCTGAAACTCACCAGGCGTTTGAGACAATGTTTCAAGAGTCCAGTATCTCCGATGGTAAGACTTTGTCTCTGGAAGTTTAGAGAGATTTGCGTTTACTTTTCTCGTGGCTCATCTTCAATCTTCATGGGTTGCAGAGGTGGAGAAAGAGTTGGGGAAAAAAGGTAAGAAGCTGACACTGGGTCCAATACAGCAGGCACCAGAACTTCCCACTAAGACGAGGACACTACGAAGACATATGGACAGTAGGGATGGTGACAGTCCAGGTAAGTTTTACTCTCCCAATATTCACAGTTAATTCTGAGTTGCTTTCTGCAATGGGCAATTGTACTGATAAAGTTTTACCCTTTCCAGATGCAGCAGAGGCTGAGGTGGCTGGGCCCCCGATGCTCCCGAGGCCTGTCCTTGATAGTAACTTGAACGAAGATGATCGCCTCCTAGCTAAAGATAAAGATAAGTTCCGAATGAATCCATTCAGTTTAATCAAGAAAAAGAAGAGAACCGCCCCGGCACCCCCAAAGCGCAGCAGCTCCTTTGGTAAGATGGATGGGCACCTGGATCGTAGAGGACTGGGTCCCGACTGCAGAGATGATTTCAACAACGGGGCTTCCACAAATGATGCCTTGCACAGCATTGACCCTTCCAAATTGGTCATCTCCAACAATACCACGGCTGTCGGAGTCACCAATGGAGCCCCAGTATATCCTGGTCAGCTCTTCCCTTCTCATTCACGGAAAAAGGGCACGGCCACAACATCGGGTGGCGGAGGGAAGCTTGCCACAACTCCACCTGCAGAAGAAGATCCTATGTCAAACTCCAAGCGCTTCCTAAGGTCTTCTTCCGCCTCTAGCATGCCCCCAGGGTCCGAACGCACTGAGTGGAAGTCTGTCACCCTACCGCGTGACATCCAGTCATCTCACTTTGACTCGGGCACCATTGGAGGCAAGCCGGCTCTGCCACGCAAGAAAGCAGATTGCATGCCACATGGTGGCACCCTTACCCCACCACCACGCCTTCCCAAGAAAACAGAGGATGCACCTGACGAAGTGTTTAAGGACTCAGAGTCTAGTCCTGGATCAAGTCCTTTGACTCTGACACCTAAGCTCACCCGTCGGCCACATGTGCAGATGGAAAGCTCCAAAACAAGTGCCTTGCAAGCGGAGCTGTTCAAGTCCAATGTGTTTCCACCTCTGGGAACATCTGGTGATGAATGCAGACCACGTAGGCCCAAGAACTCTTCTGAAGTCCCTGGACAAAGAGACAGAGAAAAGGGGAAGTTTGCAAAACCTAAACCGGCTCCTCCTCCACCTCCTGTCTCTAGTGCCAAATCTGGAAAGTCTTCGAGGAGTCCCACTTTTGATATTTCTTCAGATACCAAAGTCAAAGGCTCCTCTGAACAAAACCCTCCAACTCCCGGATCCACAGAACAAGGCAGGGGCACAAGTCTTTCCCAAGAAAGTGGCAAAAAATTGCCAAAAAACACCTCGAAAGTGCAGCCCCCAAAGACCTCTTCTACATCCCCAAGCAGTCAGCTACCAGGGATGGGAACGGGATCGGCTGTTGGTGACCCAGGACCCAACTTCATTCCCCTCATGACGACTCGCCGCTCGCTAAGGAAAACGCGCCAGCCGTCGGAGCGACTCTCCAACTCTTGCATCACACGCGAGATGGTTTTGGAGAGCACGGAGCTCCTGCGAGCTGCCATTGGCCGCATTTCAGAGCAAACCGGCAGCCACAGTGCAGTGTTGGAAGCTGGCAAGAATCTGTCCAAGTATTGCGCAAGCTTCGTCGAGTCCATCCAGCAGATGCGCAACAAGTTCACTTTCCGTGAAGCCATCAATAAGTTAGAGAGCAGCCTGCGCGAGCTGCAGATCTGCCCTGCTGCCACTGGGGGGGCCAACACACCACAAGACTTTTCAAAGCTGCTTTCCTCTGTCAAGGAGATCAGTGACATTGTTCAGAGGTAGCGGAGAAGAGCATAGATGGAACTGATATCTACGTGTCTGGGGCTTCTCTGGGTTGGCTGTGGCGTGACATACATTTCCATTGGACCCACCTCAGCTTTTCTCATGCCAAATAGATGAACATTTAAGAACGATTCAGTGTCTTATTACTGTGCACAAATGCAGGGGAACCAGTAATGTTCCTCCAGAATCTGTTTGGCGATTTTACGGTAGCCCAGGTCCAAGCCTTAGTGACTTGATTTTTTATGAGTCTTTGTCTGCAATTCCTTGACTTTTCTTCTCTGCATTTTCTCGAAGTATTTGTTAAAGACAGCATTATCTCAGCATTGCAGATGACTGACAGAAAAACACCTCATGTGCCTCAGACTTTTCAACCTTTTTAAGGGATCAAAATATATTTTTGATTACATTCATGATCATAGTATTGATAAAGACTGTTTATTGATGTGTCCAGCTTAGTTTTCTTTGTGTGGTTGGTCAAGAAAGGGCTTTGTTGCGAGACGTGAACGCTCCCTGTGATATGAGGAACTTCAAACCGACTGATCAAGTATTGTATGATTGCAACACTGTGCCATGATTGACATTTCACTGATGGGGTCGTTAATTCGGTTTTCTCACCTTTTCCAGGCCCGTCAAAGGTTTTGAACAAGTGTTCCTACAGCACAATCACTACATACACGCCTTTCCAAAACTACAGTTGCCTTAAAGAGACTCGCTGAACATGAATCATTGGTCAGCGAATGAAACACTACTGTCTCAAGGAGAAAGACTTGGCAGTGAGAATCGGCGCTTCAGAAACAGTATATGTATAGATGTTTTTGTAATGTCCTCTGAAAGATCTTCAGTTACCACTTGATGTCATTTCAAAGGTTTTCCACACACCACTGACAGAAGTGCTCCGGGATCACGGACTTGAACGGAGCAGCTTTATCCAATGACCACAAGCCATGATTCTCATTTACTAAAACTTTCGTGTTTTGCTTGTGTAATTGAAATAATGCAGTTGTTTTCAGTATTTCTTTGTCTTTTCCAACACTTTGCCATTAGACTGCGACGCTTGAGGAGGAGGCCAACCACAAGCTGCCTTTAATTCAACATGGTACTACCAGTGTTGACATTTCATGTTTTTTTGTTCTCTTAAAATCATGCCACTACTTTTAAATTTGTATTCAAGCTTCACCCTTTTGTAGACTAATTGCTCGTCTTTGTAAATACACATCACTTATGTTTAGTTGATTTGTCCTGTAACCTTGGTGCAATTTTTGTTGCAAAAAATACAAAGCAATTTTGCTACTTGAACAACGTAGTTTGTTTCTGTCAGCGTGGTCATGTTGTCTGCTCTCTATTCTAATGTGCTTTTGCATATGCATGTGTTTGTGGTTCATCTTCATTTTAAACGTCAATGCAGAAACACTTTCTGTCTAGACCATTTTTATTGTCATCATTAAAATCAAAATGTCAACATTTTAAAATCATATACACACAAGAACAGATTTTCAAACATTAGCACAGCTCCTACAAAGTTTATACATATGTACTGTTTTTGCTCATGTGAACAGCAAGGTCTTTCAGATCACAGATTCAGACAGTTCAAAAGGACTAGTGCCTGCCTTAGATCAGTCAAGATCTGATCTCCATTTTTAAGACTTTCTGTAGGAGAATTTGCCTCCTGTTTCTTCAGCTGGATGTGTGAGAGTTTGTGATGTACACGCTGAGTGAGGAGTCAGTGCTCGTTACATCAACAGATACAGCCTTATTTACAGCAGCTGAATCAGAGCCGATTTCATATGGTACATACACTGAATTAAGACACAGAAGCTGCTTCAGAGGAAGTTTGCGGTGGTGCTGTTAATATACAAGCCAATGCACTGACTGGAACCATTTCCATCACATTTCCTAGATCTATACAAAAACAGTAGCACTGTTGTAAAACCGTTTGCTTATTAACTCAAGTCTGAACTGCATGTTGAGCTAGTTGATTAAACTGTGATAGTAATAATTTTAACATGAATAATAACAATAAGGCAACATAAAATAATGGTGGTGAGGACAGAGGAATGAATGTTGATATGATGAAGGAGCAGAAGAGGAGATGGGAGCGATGAAAGAATGAATCTTTCCGTAAATTCTCTTTGATTCATAAAGCTGTCCGACCCAAACCGACTCTACACTCACACATGCGTTCGCATATGAACATGCACGTGATTGCAACAGGAGACGCTTTATTAGGTTTTAAATCTGGTCTGATCAGTGGAACCAATGCGACCACTGCGCATTTACAGATGAATAAAAAAATGAAATGCATTATTCTGAGCACAGCTGCATATAAAACTGAGATGCATTATTTTGCACACTCAACCTAGTGCTTTTTATCTGCAGGAGCGTCAGACAGGTGTCCTGTTGGTGACCGACCCAAACAGATTTTCACAACCACATTGACTCTCATACGGTTGGAAAAATGGCAGCAGATACGCATTTGATGTTCTTAAAATGATCCTAACACAACCCATGCAGCAGCAGCATGTTGGATTATGAATCCATGTCACACGTTTGGCCACTTCCTTCAGCATGGGTCTTATTTCTGTGATGTCACATTGTTGAGCTATAAAATCAATCAATAAAAAGAAGCTGAACTGATGTGTGTGACGTGATGAGCAGTGGTGCAGTCAGAGGAAGGTGAGGATGGGAACGTAAGAACACACTGACCAGAGAGCGAGGATGGACAGATGAAGAGATAGACAGGAGGATGAAATGAGCGCATGTAGCCGTGTTCCTCCCCTCTGCGGTTCCCGCGGCTCTTTGGTACAGGCCGAGGCCGCGAGCGTGTGTGATAGAGGAAGAGGAGGATGGTTGTGGTGGTCGGGTGGAGGATGAAGGTCATTAACAGCCACACCCTTCCCTCTGCGGCTGTGGTTCGCTGGTGAGCCGGCCGCCCTGCGGCGCTGACGGTTTGTGCTGCACACCAGACTCGGCCGCGTTCAGATCCAGACTGCCGTCCTGAATGTTCTGGTAGATCTTCTTGGCTGCTTCCAGAAACGCATCCTCCACATTCTCACCTCTGTGACCACAAACACACGGTTAGCATCTATACACTCACATGAGATTAAGGGGACAAGAAAAAAAAAATCTAGATAAAAATAAAAGATCAAGACAAACTTGATGGCTTGGGAAAACCCAACCTGATCTCATGAGAAAATGTAACTATTCTATGAGGTGGCACACTAGCAACATGCTAGGAACATGATAAAACATGTTAGCAACATGCTAAGAAAAGGTTGAAACACTAGCAACATGCTAAAACACAACATGTTAAAACACTAGTAGCAACATGTTAAAACACTAGCAACATGGTAAAACTTGTTAAGAAAACATTAAAATACGCTAGCAACAAGCTAAAACATGCTAGGAACATGTAAGCGTTTTGTGAAAACGTTATAATCATACTATTAAAATGTTATCAATATGTGCTAAATGTGCTTTAGCAATGTGCTAAAACATGCTAGCAACATGTTAGGAAGGAACATATGAGCAATGTGTGAAAACATTATAAGCATGTTATTAACATAAATGTGCTAGCAATGTGCTAATATTGTAGCATTCTATCCATCAGAGACTGCATGGCTTTAAAACTTTCAGACTTAAAAAAGTGAATTCAATCTTTCTGACCAGGCTTTCCAACACAATCTCTGACAGTTCATAAATATATTACATTTTGCTGAACTGGTGGCTGATTCTAATGAATTTGCACAATCCTATTCATATGCTATGACATGCTAACAACATGCTTAAACGTTAGGAACATACAAGCAACATGCAAAAAACAACAACATTTAAGAACATACAAAAAACATACACAAATGTTATAAGCATGGGAATATAACATTAGGAACAAGCTAGCAATGTGTTAAAGCTGGTTGCTAGGGTGTTCTGGCTAGTTGCTATGGATGGATAGAGTATGGTAGAGGTCATAGGAGGAATTGGTGTAAGAAATGTTATTCTCTGAATATTAATAATAATAATAATGTTAAATAGCATATTTCTCTCAAAGTTCATCTCTGTGAACATTTTTAAAGCATTTTATCTGCCCTTCCATATTCAGGCTTTTCAGTGTCTGTAACAATGGGTTTTCCTCATAAATACACGTGTACAGACGGATATGTTTCTGACGTCTGGCTTTGTTAATAAACACATTCTCTGATGATTTATATGTGACGTTTTCACTGCACACGTCCCATTCATAATGCTGGAGCTGCTGGAATAACTCACGTTTTAGCGCTGGCCTCCAGGAACAGCAGACCTGTGAACACAAACAAGCGTGAAATCAGAACAGTGTCGTGTGATCTGTCATGTGACAGACATACGCTTCACTCACCGTTCTCTTCAGCGAACTGCTTAGCTTCCTCATACGTCACGTCCCGCTGCGCTTCCAGATCCGCTTTGTTTCCTATGAGTATGATCACCTGCACAAACACACCAGAGAAACCTCTCTGAGCCAAACCAACAGAACCAACCATAAACTCCACCCTCAACCTGTCAATCACACCCAACCAATCACCCAACCAACAAAACCTGAGTGCTGCCTGCTGTCGCTAAACTAGATGTCACAGCTTGGTGTAAGAGCTTGCAAGGTAGATCTTATGTTATCAATACTGTGCAGTGCCCTAAGTCAACAGAGCTCAACCCTATGTTACTACTATGATATAGTGCTGAGATATGACTTATTCATGCAGATGTGGCTGCTAGACAGTTGGCAGAGTGTTTTTGTGGTTTCTAGGCTATGCTATCAGTACATTGCCCTTTAAGCCCAGGACACACCATGCCGACTTCATAGAACTAGCGGCGAAGAAAGCTGACCGTGTTGTGGCCTCGCGTCTGGACCAAAAATCTGTGCCTGAGCACACTGCACAGACTACAGCCGACTGCAAACTAGCATGTGCGTTCTGGAATTAACTGTCTATATCAGTAGGTGTCAATAGTCTATATTTGTCATTCAAAAGGAGAAATTGAGACAAGGATGTATGAGATAAACGCAGATATATGAAACGTAAGCAGCGCTTGCTTACTATTTTGAATATCAGTTATGTTGATAATTTTCTTCATTTTATGAGGCTCGTGTTGTTATGAAAATATTTGCGTATTGAAATGCTCGGGTAAGATATTGCCGTCTTGACTTACTTGCTCGTTTTCATCACTTTTTGCTTTACTTTTTGCATCCAATCAGAGTTCTCACTCTCACCGACTCGACATGCTGAATTGGGCAAACTGCTGCTGACGTGAGACCGACGAGAGCTGACGTGGAACAAACTAAAAAATCTAGTCCAACAGACGCTTGCTGATGGCCCGACGTTGGCCAATGGTTGGCCGTCGACTTGTGGCGCTTTTCCACTGCATGGTACGGCTCGGTACGGTTCACTTTTGGGGGGTTTTCCACTGGGTACAGTACCTGGTACTTTTTTTAGTACCACCTCGGTTGGGGTTCCAAGTGAACCGTACCGTTACCAAAACGTGACGTGTAAACTCTGCTGATCACGGATTGGCCGGAGAGAATCATCACTACCTGCGTCACTGAACTTGCGACACAACACACAAAAGAACCGCTAGATTTAAATCAGCACAGCCAGCGAAGGATCGGACGCAACTGTTTTGAACGAGCGCACCTTTTTTTAACAACCAAAAAGTGGCTGTTCCCCCTGTTGAGGAAGTACAGACGTTCCTCTCGTTGATAGCAGAGGAGCGGATCCAGCGAGAGCTTGATGGGGCGACGCGGAATGAAAACGTTTTTCAGGAATCGCGGCAATAGAGGCGGCGCAACTATAACGACATGTGAATAATCCCGCCCACTCTAAAGCGGTACTGAACTGCAGTGGAAACGCAAACCGAGCCGTGCCGTGCCGTACTGAGCCGTACCGAGCCGAGTCGTACCACGCAGTGGAAAAGCGCCATTGGTGTCCCGGCCTTAAGTCAATGGAGGCCAACCTTATGTTACTACAATACTATAGTGCTGAGACATGGCTTATTTATGTAGCCTAAAGGCCGTTTCACACGGAGTGTGATGAGAAAAAATGAGGCGAAACGCCAACGAACGGTTTTGTTTCACGAATGAATTGTTTCACACCAAGCATGAAACAATTGATTGCCATCTGCTAATTCACACCTGCACGCTAGATGGAGCCGACAAACAATGCATTTCCCACCGATATGTATCTCGTATATGGATTTAACATCATCCGCTGCTCAACAGCATTAAATTAAGATAAATAAAGTTTGGTTCTACACCAGAAACACAAAATATCTATAATGTTTACAAGAATAAATCTTAAAATATAATTAGAGGTACAATTAGCATCAATCTACTTGAAAATTGTGATTAATGTTTTTGCTTAAAACCCACTTTAAAGGGGTCATATGATGTCGCTAAAAGGAACTAAGGAGGATTATTTTGTGTATTTGGTGTAATGAAATGTGTTTATGCGGTTTAAGGTTCAAAAAACACATTATTTTCCACATACTGTACATTATTGTTGCTCCTCTATGCCCCGCCTTTCTGAAACGTGTCGATTTTTACAAAGCTCATCGTTCTGAAAAAGCGAGGTGTGCTCTGATTGGCCGGCTATCCAGTGCGTTGTGATTGGCCGAATACCTCAAACGTGTGACGGAAATGTTACGCTCCTCACCATACGGTGATGCCCTGTCCGGCCGGAGCGACGAGACAAAAACATTAAAACCCATTATAAACCAGGCATTTGTTGCATCCAGTGGGGACATAATTACGGATTATAATGACTTATACTGTCTTTTTACGCATTGCGTTGCATTGCTAAAATAAACCTGAGCATTAAGTGATTCAGACTAAATTCAGACTAACAAAACTACAGCAGCATGTCTGTATTGGCTGAATGTATTAAGCAGCTTCTACAGTTAAAGATAAAACTTAAAAATTTAGCTTTTAAATTAAATCTAAAAATATTTCAAAATATTTAATGCATTATTATTTAATTGTTATACCATTAATAATTAACTTATTTAATGTGTAGCTAACTAGCTAAGTATGTAAATAATTAACCCTTTCATGCTGTTGGTGTCTGAGCTTAATTATTTATTTTTTAATGACATGAGAGTGACTTCCTGCACTTGCTATACTTTATACTTAAGTACAGTAAAAGTACTAAAATGTGTTACAATAGTCATTTTATAATAAATCCAAAAGCAAGATGTTAAAAAAACTAGAAAGTTGGAATGGCAACTGATAATGAGTGATCCTCTTCTGCCATCTACTGGTTATAATGCTAATTTCATGTAATTTTCATCTTAAAAAGTCTTTGTTTTCTGCCAGGAGACACATTTTTGGCACATTTTTTTCTTGTCAGATTCATGAATGAAAAGTGAATCTTTAAAGTGAATTTTACTGCACAACTGTAACTAATCTCACTCCAGCCAGGCAACCTAAGTTTGCAACCCAGTGTACATATTCAGTTATACTCATTACTATGAAGGCAAGTTATCGATTATCAAGAATACCATTATGACGTTGTTTACAAGATAGCATCGCTAGCTAACGTTAGCTTAAATAGTTACGATAGTGTCTGGGTACTGGGATTACCAGGCTCAACATATAAAATTATATGTTGTTAAATAACATGAAACTGTATGTTAATGCCGCTTTCATCATTTTCGGTGTTGCAATTATTTTGTTTCTCAGTTTCTGACAAGAGCCAGGCAGGAGAGTGTTGCTAAGCAGAGGGTCTGTGAGGGTCTTAAGAGTCTCTACCTATATGTACCACAACATCAAATGACGTTTCTCCGGAAGTTTAAGAGTTGGCTTATCTTAATGCGGAAGTTCTAAAGAAAGCTCCGTGCATACAGTCCATTCAGTGGAGAATTAATAGAAATTATATTCTATATAAAGAACATGTGAGAATAAATCTGTTCTCAGTTACCAATGATAACAAGAACTCATCATCCACTCTCTTCTCTCTCGGGATACTCTTCTTTGGTGTTTGTTTACACTGGTTTTCGAAACAGTGTCACTACTCTCGCCCTTTTGTGCACCACTAGCTGCTCCGGGCACACGATCTAGGCTCAAATCTAATTGGATGGCCCGTTTCATCACAGAGCAATGGGGGGGAAAAAAAAATCCTCACTTTTTCGCGCCATGAATAATCGCGCCTGGTGTGAAAATCCCCATAGGCACTATTTACACCATTGTTTTGATTCAAAAGCATCATTGCACCGAACATTCGTGCCAGATTTTTGCATTCAGTGTGAAAAAGCCTTAAGCCCAACCTACATACCCCTGAGCCCTGCCAGTCCAGACTTTTCTTGTACTCACAGTATTGGGGTTGGTAAGGTTTCTGGCGTCGGTCAACCAGCTGCTCAGGTGGTTGTATGTGCTTCTCCTGTACGACACACAGACAGAGCATGTGTTTCCATCGCTAGAGACAGCAGCATGAGAGCCGCGTTACTCGGCTGACGTACCTGGTGATGTCGTAGACCATCAGCGCTCCCGCCGCTCCTCTGTAGTAGCTGCGCGTCACGGCCCTGAATCGCTCCTGACCTGCCGTGTCCCAGATCTGCAGCTTGATCTTCTGACCGCTCACCTCGATGATCCTGGTGCCGAACTCCACGCCGATGGTGTGCGGACAGTCAGCCATGACTGAGGAGAGCAGAGAGTTCATGGTGAACACCAACAACTACTGACTTGCATCAGAATCACATTACTTTCATCACTGATGAAACTCAACATCAACACTGTTATTGAACTGAACTGATCTTAATAATGACACTATTGTCTTCTGTAGAGCTGCTTTATAGCTGAAATTTGTGTCATTGATTCTGTTCTGATTTTCCTGTTTATCACTGTGAAGTAGGGTTGTGACGGTGAGGAAATTTTCCCACCGGTTAATCGATGTGACAACACCGGTAATCACCGTGGGGGCGGGGGCGTTCCCTCTTTTCCTCGCTTTCCTTGGCTATTAAATAGCTTGTAAAAGCGGCGTGCACATTTTATTTTCACTTTGAAATAGCGGCAATTCGGCGTAAAGCAATTGTTCTTTTGCAATTGTTCGTTTGAATTTTCCCTCTTTTCCTCGCTTTCCTTCGCTTTTAAATACTTAACACCGGTATCACCGTCAGCACCGTCTATCGCGGCAAGCCTACTGTGAAGCTGCTTTGAAAATTGAGGGTTAAAAAATGGGAAGTGAAACTGAAAGGTCAACGTATCAAGATTTTTTTATTGTGATTCATTTAAATTTAAATTTTTAAGACAAAACTGATTAGTGTTATAAAGGAGTTATTTATTCGTATTCAGGGTTTACAGCATGCGATTCAAAGGCAAGGTTAGAGACAAGTCTGTTGTTTCAGTTATAATCTATATAATTTATAAATTAGTTTGATTAAACATTACCAGGTCAAAACATAAAAAAGGAAGATATGTACAGATGAACTGTTCACAATAAGATCTATAACATGCATTTGAAAAACGGACTTCCATTTCATGCATCCCTAGTTTTAATTGTCTGTAAACTTACTAGACAGTCACAGAAGTCCTTGACCGTTGTGGCGTGTCTCAGTGTGTGTGTAGGATACCGTGTCAACTTAAAAACAGCTCAAATCTTACCACTGAAAGGAACTTCAGAAGGATGTCAGCATTAGGAAAGTGCATCTGAATCTGCATGAATTCCCATTAGTGTGAGATTATATGTTTGTTGGGCACATTTCCGTGTGAAGATACCATACTGAAACTATTAGTGAATGATTGGATGCTTAAAACTCTACTGGACTGTCAGCAAACCCTCATGTAACCCATATCACCATTCTATCTGCTGATGACAGTGATGATAAATGAGAAGCTGTGTTTCATTCAGATGATCAGAGATGGGCCGTGATGACGCAAAAAAACAACAATACAAATAACAATAAATAATAAACAAGTGTGTCATGACCTCTTTAAACAAGCCGTCACAGGCTGGTCATTTCACACAAACTCTCTGTGAATGTGGAACATCAGGAGTCAGAGCAGTGTTTCCCATTCATTAACTAGACTGTGGCGGCCCAGTCTAATCTGTCCCGCCACAGTTTCATAATAAACCAAAGATATATTTATACTAGGGATGCTCCGATCGATCGGCCGGAGATCGGTATCGGCCGATAATCACATTTTATGACTCGATCGGTACTCACTACACTTGGCCGATCTCACGAACCGATCACAATTTGATGGCGTCAACGCGAGACGACGTACATGGTGCCTGGGGACATGAATGATTTGGCGCCGCAGTCATGTCATCGCCGGTGTGGAAATGCTATGACGTTTCGAGAAACAATGAAAAATTCGCTATTTGTCGTGTATGTTTTGCATGATGATATGATGAATGGATGGTTCATTTTTAACAGCAGATTCAGTGACGTTAGAGCTGATCTGCGCCTCACTGCACACGTCTGCGGCGCGTTACGGCTCCACAGGAACCGGAGCTGATCGCGGCCGCTCTAGTCAGTGCTTGTGTTTATACCATAGACTTGGGTTTATACCAGCCAGCCGTGGCATGTTTCTGAAGCTGCTCTCCACGCTGCTTGGCTAAAAATAGCCTTTTGTGAGTTGGCACAGCATGAAGGACGGAACAAAACCTCGTCGAAGCCGTAAGGGGTAAAGGTAACAATATGCTGATCGTGGGCTGCTTTTAAATGAACATTTATTTAAAAAACAAAATATCTTTGGCCATATTAGCCTACTCAATAGCATTAACACAGGCTTTACTCCTTTCAAACTTTATCTGGAATGTCACTGCAACTTCCCGATCAGGCGAACGAACACACACACACACACGAAATCGTCTGCCTCATGAAAAAAAAATATTAAAAAAAATGTAGTTAATATTTGCATCATTTATGATTTATTTTATCCACCCGCAAATAATCAGAATGCATCTTTTATTACCCGACCCGCGGATTATCCGCAGCGCCCGTGGATATAACCGTGATCGAACTACTCCGTTTTGTTCTTTCAGTAGTTTAAATGTTTCTATTTCTTTTTCCCTCTTCAGTCTTATATTGGACAGTATTAAACCTTATGTGTTACATCAGACTTCTCCATGTTAGAGTTTAAATGTTTCTATTTATTTTGTCCCCTCTCTAACATTGGACAATGTTAAACTAAACATAATGAGTTGCATCAAACTACTCCAATTAGTTCTTTTAGGAGTTTAAATGTTTTTTTTTATTAAATATTTATTTTGTCCTCCACAGTTTACTATTTCCAAATAGAATCAAAAACAACAGCTAAATAGTCCCTCTAAAGTAGATTATTTTTGATAACAAGCAAAATATGTTTGCTGCGTAAATCAGATGGACTTACTGAAAATGCAAATTCATTCTCTGCCAGCAGGAGGTGCTTTAAAGCGAGAGAAACACAAAGCAGTGCTGAGCTCACAAAGGCTGCTTTATCAGGCATATAACATGCAAGATGAAATGAAAATGACATCGAAAATTTTCTAAGGATAGTCTTCTTTCAGAAGTACAGTGATATAAAAACACCCGCGCCTTGTTTTGATTTTTAAACGTGCAGAAAGTGCTCATGTTTATTCAATGAAGCCTTTTGGCAAGTCGGTCAGTTTTGATATTGTGGCGAGTGCCACAAATAAATAAATGTATGGGAAACACATCCCTTCAGTCTACTCGTCACCTTAACTTTGACTGCGTTCGTAGCCGGCGCCATAGCCAGACTGATAAACAAACACAGACCGGAAGTTAACTTCGGGTCAGGCGCGTGAACCCGACGAAACCGTCTATATAAAGCTTGAAGCATCAGAATAAGCATCAGTATCGG